ATTATACACCCAAAAATCTAAAGGATGAGAGCTTGGAGGAAGAGACCAATGGCTGTAGTTTGGGAAGTAGCTGCCCTGTTAAGAGTCCATCACAGCAAAAGTGTTGTGATGTTTCCCAAGGACCAGATCTGGGTGGATAATGTGGAAGAAAGTCAGCCTGGGGTTGTCTTAGTTCCTGCCCAAGAGGAAGTCTCAGCTGAAAGAGGCCAAAAGTGGACCCCCAGATACCTCAGGGTGTGGAAGAAATCACAAATGACTAGCTGGAACAGAGATGCAGTTAAGATACTCAGCGGTGGTGGTAGGTTTGCAAAATAACCCAAACATCCTCTAACTGAGAAAGAGCCAAATTTAAACATCTGCCAGGTTTAAAAGAGGCCAATAGCAGCCAGCATCAGTTAAGTAAGAATTGTCCTGCCGTGTTTCCTATCTGTTCTCTTTGCACTCCAGCCTTAGAGAGCTATAAAACTGGGGGAGGAGCAGTAGGAATGCCATGAAAGGCTTTTCTTGACTGCAGGCTTCCTGGGCACAGGAAATCTGAGCTGGACATGGGGACGAGAAGCCTAAAATATATATAAAGTTCATAATTTTGATTATTACATGGGAATGGAATTTTAATTATTCAATTGAGACTGAGTTTTGTAGCACAAATGATGGTGGACATCTTTTTAAATCTACAAGTAATCAGAAGAGTCATGGGGATGGCTAGGTTTTTATCCAGGGACAGGGGAAGGTCTTACTCCACAGAAGGGCAGTTAAAGACAAAAAAACATTGCTTTATAATCACATCCACAGGCTGTGCTTTCCAAGCACTGTTTACCTGTGTAAGAATGGTCATTGATCTCAAAAACAGAAACTACAAAAGAAATCACTATATTTCAATAATCTAGATAAAAATAAAATGCCCAGTGAACATAGAAGAATTGTAAGAAGAAAGAGAGCCATCATTCAAAGTGAGAAAGTGTTGTCCATATTTTGCTTCTTAACTTGAGTGAACAGTTTTAAACATAAAATGAATACCTTAGGTTATGCACCAATTCACAGACTTGAACATACCATATACAATATAGTCCAATAGAAGCTGAGGAGAAGGGGTCATCTTTGGTTTTTATTAACATAATTTACAATCACCCGAGAATTATAGTGTTTTACTAGACATATTTTTTTTTTAGTACAAAGCTATAGGAGAAGTGGCATAATTGTAGGAACTCTAAGGATCTGAAGAGAGGCTTGAATAAAGAAAAACCAAACATGACCCTCCCAGATGACATTTGCTTTTTGAGCCCCTTGAATGTCCAAAACGCCTTTTATTATTTAGGGCCTGTTTTTAGCTCCTATTTGGTCATTTCCATGTGTTGATATCATCAGGTATTGATCTATTTCATCCTTACACTTTGTCAAATGAAAATACACAATTTTTTTATGAATAAGGAGAATTTATTGTAATGCAAATTAAGGGACTAGCTTTGCAGCAGATATAGGACACAGAGTTGGAACTAACTGTGTCTTATTCATCTTTGTGTTTTAAGAACCTAACATGATAGCTGGACCATAGGCACTCAGTACACGTTAGTTGAATAAATGGATGAATAGATAGTAAATCACTTTTAGGTATTTGGTGAACTCCTCTGTTCTACACCAGGTCCTATTTAAGTTGACAAATGTATAATTAAAGTGGTCCTATCAGAGAAGCAGACTCAACCCAGACTCCACCAATTTTTCCTTTCTGGAGATCCCGAAAACTGATCACCATCTCACTCGGATATTAATGCATTGGGGCAAGGCCCGCAGACTGTCATTAGCTATTTCTATTTCAAATCTGAGACAATCTGCTGTAGTAGAAAACATTCATCTTGGGGGAGTCAGAACACCTAGGTTCTTGTTTTCAACTTTGCTTTTCACTAGTCTTACGTACGTGAACAAATGACTTACTCTCTAAAATCCTCAGTTGCATATCAGTAAAGTATGGACAATAACATTTCACCTAACGAGGAGTGTGAGGGATGAAATGCACCTACCTAAGCATAAGATATTGCTGGTATTGCAACCTGGGGGTCTTTGGGCACCTTAGGACTCGTGCACAATTCACTAGTGCCTGTTGTGAAGTAAGAGCAAATGTTCCCTGAGGGTATCCCTATCCTGACTTAATACCTAATGCATTCTTATCCACCACCATGAGCACTTGATAAAACTTTATAGATTAACTGATTCTGATATGATAACTTCTACTTTCTTATCATCAATTCAGGCTCCTTCTTTTTTGGTTCTGGCATTTTATTTATGTGTTTATATATTCATTTATTTATTTTGATTGGATAGCCTTTATCCAAATGCATATTAGTAGTAAATCAAAACATTTTGAAGATTCTAAAACCTTTTCCAAAACTTTCCTTTTTTTTGACAGATACTACTCGTTCCAAAAAGAGTTATGAAATGGATGGACGTGAGTATCACTATGTGTCAAAGGAAACATTTGAAAGCCTCATGTATAGTCACAGGTAAACTGGATGTTCAGAATCTGATTCTTGCCACTGGTTGTTTTACATTCAAAATAGATTCCCTATTTTTATGCATTGTCCAAAGCTTCTGATGTAATTTCTTTTTGCTTCTGAAGAATTAAGCAAGGACATATAAATTGATATACTAGTCCACCAATCATTGGATTATGAGAGGGAGCAGAATCAAGTTGCAAATTTAGAGAATTTGGAAAAGTCATGGAGTCCTAGGTCTCCTAATACTTCTTTCTCCTGTCAAATACCCACTCATTCTTTTTGTGCTAACAAAGCCCATATATTTTATTCTATTCTGTTGAAATTTTCTTCATGTTACTACTGCTAATATTTTACTTGTAGAAAGAGTTCTTGTTTTCTTTGTCCCACTCTTGCAGGATGCTTGAGTATGGTGAGTACAAAGGCCACCTGTATGGCACCAGTGTGGATGCAGTTCAAGCTGTCCTTGATGAAGGGAAGATCTGTGTCATGGACTTAGAGCCTCTGGTGGGTCTGTACTGGAATGTTTCCCATCTCCCCAAAGTAATGAATGCATGCCATCCATCTTGTGCACATGCTATATTGTAGGTTGTATTCGAGACATCTTATTCTGTTAGCCTTTTAAGGATAACACCACTTCCCATATCTAAGGGCCAGGATCTTACATGAAGGATCAATTTGCCAATGTTCTGTCTTTAGTTGGGGAATAAATCTAGTTTCTCAGACACAAAAACAGAACTGAACAGGCTGCCATAAAGAAAACTTAGAATCCTGCTTTGACCTTGATCACAAAGGCATCAAGGTAACTTCTTGTGGAGGGAATAAGATATCGGCTTTACATAGGAAGAGAGGCTCCTATGTTGTCATATTTATAGCTACCTTCCTGAGACCATAAGTGGAATAGAGCAGGAGTGAGCAAGTTAAGGTAAGATAAAGAACATATGTTATGTAGGCCCAATTTTTATGATCCTTGTATTTTCTTTGCATTTTCTGTAGTCATTTAAAAATATACCTTGTGTGCTAAAGAGAATCAAGAGGCAGTAGAGTTGTTCTTACTTGGGTCAAAGCTGGTGGTCAGCAGTATTAATGTGTGAGGTTGTCAGTGGTATTAATGGCAAGAGAACGGGGAAGTAAGAGTGAAACAGAGCTGATCCGCCTTGAGAGTCTCTTTGTCTTATGAGATCATGTACAGAATCCTATTCTCAGATTTCAATAAGGGTGCCATGGCTAGTAAGAGGAACAGCCATGATTTCTAGAACCCCATCTCTTAATTTTTAAAACATTATTTAGAGTTGAGAACTTGGGGGCAAGTGAGAATATTCTTTGCCTAAAAATAATTGCTAATTTCTGGTCTTTGAAAATTTGAGAACATTCATGTTGACTCTAGGAAACAGAACTTCTGTTTTTAAATGTGCACTTAATTTTTCTGTGTAGGGTATTCAAGTGGCTCGAACCCATGACCTGAAGCCCTATGTCATATTTATAAAGCCATCTAACATGAGCTGTATGAAGCGATCTAGGAAAAATGCCAAGATTATTACAAACTACTTTGTGGATATAAAATTCAAGGTAAGACACAAAGGAAATAGATAAATGTACTTTTTTCTAGTTAAAAATCACTGTATTGTTTCTATAACATCCTTATATTAAGGAACATTATTTCTATTTCTAACAAACAATTCCCTTATGATTTATTTTTACCGGACATCATTTATAGATATCCAAAATAAAAAGTTTAAAAGCTGCTATTATGGTACTCTTATTTTTTTTCTTTTTTTTGGGGTCTAGCTTTAAAAAAATAAAAGATCATCAAACTACAGTTTTCAAAGCCACACAGAAATTGGGTGTGCATAAACTTGATATTTGTATTTAAAATGAATTATTTTACAAATATTTGAGAGTTTACTTTAAAATACCTTATTTAATATATCTCATATGTAATATGAGGTATCTTTATATATTTATAAATATAAAATTTTTATTAATAACAATGTTAAGGGGCCAAGTCAGATGGGATTAATCAGTAAACGCTTTCTAGAGTAGGTAATTTTTTTTCAGTTTTATATATAGCATTTTTTCATTAAATCCATTTTAAATATTTTAACTCATAACATACATTCAGCAAGGTGTATAAACCTTCAGTGTACAGTTTAATGAATTTTTACATATGTATGCACCCAGATAACTATCACCTAGGTCAAGATATTACATCCACTTATTTTTGTGTGTGTGTGGTAAAAAACACATAATATAAAACTTAACACATAATATAAAAACAAAACTTACCATTTCAAACATTTTTCAATGTATAGTCCAGTAGTGTTAAGTATATTCACACTGTGAAACAGATCTACAGAACTTTTTCATCTTGTAAAACTGAAAGTAAACGTATGGAGTGTATCACAAATTTGCATGCCATCCTTGCATAGGGCCATGCTAATCTCTGCATCATTCCAATTTTAATATATGTGTTGCTGAAGTGAGCACAGGGTATCGTTATATTATCCTTTATCTCTTATTTTATCTTCATATTTTTCATTGATTACTGTATGAAAGGCTGATTCTCCCAGTATGCATTTCAGACAGTGGAGTCCATAGATATATTCTCTGAGTCTTATGGGCGTTTAAAATTGTGTTCTCTCTCATTTTTATGGCAATCTAAACAAATGAATAAAATTGTTTCTGGATCATGAGTATGGACACCTTGTAAAGGAGTACTGCTGCAAGATTTCAGTGCCTGTGTTTATATCTGTTTATGATTGCATTGGCAACAAGTTGTACTATTTTAATTGTTGTGGATAAATAGGAAAATAACAGCAATGATTTTAATGCACAATTGAAAGTCAAATGACTTCCATTGAATGAACATTTCACAATAGTAGAAATGGACAATATTGTAAGTGAATTAAGTCATCATTAAGTGAAGGTTTTAGGTATGCTGAATTCAACAGAACCATCCTCATGTTGAAAGTAGCCATTTTGTGTCTGCAAAATCATCTCATTCTTATCAGCTTAATTTGAAATTTATGTTTAAGTTTTATTTATATGTAACTGGTAAAATTTCTTTGGTTTTGTTGTATGTGGCTTGAGAGATTCAATATTTAGATAAGAGAATAAGAAAATTTAAGTACAAATCAGAAGTTGAGAGGAGGGCCGGCTGAGCGGCTCAGTTGGTTAAGAGCTCGCTCAAGAGTGCAAGCTCTGAGCAACAGCAGTTTGAGTCCTGGCCCGAGCTGAGCAGCCGCTGAGCTGCCAACAGGTGGCAGGATGATCAGATCAGCTAAAAAAAAAAAAAAAAGAAGTTGAGAGGATTGGTTTGTCTATGAACTGTTACTCAATTTTGCAAAACCTTGACCAGGGAGACATTAAGACTAAAAATAGAAACATAAGTTTAATGATTTAGAGGACATTTATTTGACCTAATTGTTTCTATAAATAGCTTCACAATGGAATGTAACAGTATAACAAACTCTGTGTTATTTCTATTCATTTCATTATGTTTGTGCTGTTCATATTTTTCTATTTCTCCTGAAGGATGAAGATCTACAGGAGATGGGGGAATTAGCCCAAAAAATGGAGACTCAATTTGGCCAGTTTTTTGATCATGTGATTGTTAATGACAATTTGCAAGAAGCTTGTGCCCAGTTGTTGTCTGCAGTTCAGAAGGCTCAGGAAGAGCCTCAGTGGGTACCAGCAACATGGGTTTCTTCTGATACTGGGTCTTAAGGAGTCCTTCTGCTTAATATTGGAGTTTTAACAATGTTCACCAGTTACAAAGCTCTGGACTAACAGCTGCAATCTAAAACAGCAGTATTTGTCCTATTATAATGTGTGCAACTTAATAAGTGCAGTAGTTTATTAACCTTATTTGAAAAAAATATTTGCATGTATGGCTACATATTTACCTATTTGGCTTTTGGAAAAAAATGTTTTCCTTTACCTCATATGCAACAATTGGTAGGAATATGAACAATGTTTAGTCACTTAGTAAGATAACTTTTCATAGATTTCATGTGGTCTTTGTATGATTCAGATAAAAAAAGCTTCCCTAAATAAGTAATATTTAATTTCAGAAATTATATTTTACCTCATGAAACTTGTTTTATAAAGATGGCTTTTATGGGCTGGCCGAGTTTGGTTAGGAGTTGGCTTGGGACACCAGCTCTGAGCAGCAGGGCCCCGGTTCCCATCTCACATGAGGGCCAGTGACGCTGCGCCCTCTACAGCTAAAATGGTGAACAATAGCTCAACCTGGAGCTGGGCTGCTGTGAGTCACCAGGGAAGGCGTAGGCTGCAGTGGGGCTGGCCCGCAGCCTAGGTGAGCTTTTGAGAGCTGCCAGAAGCGGCTGCCTCACCCGGAAAGAGTGCAATGATAATACCATCATGGGCCAGTGAAGCAATGTCCTCTACAACTAGACTGAAGAACAAAGGACAGCAACTTGTCTGTTCCCCTTCCCTGATTCCCCAACACTGTTCCCCTCCCCCAATTCTCCAATAAAATCTTTTTTTTTTTTAAATGGCTTTTACAAAAGTGCCTACTTGACTCAGCAGGAGAGGTGGATTAATATACACATTTCAAATCTAACATCAAAACCTACAGAAACTGTACTGCACTCATCATTTTATACATCAGGCTACAAGGAAAAATTATTCTTCTGATCAGAGATGTGACAATCATTAATTTCCCTAAAACCTATATCTACATTTATGCCTAAATTAGGAAAGCGCAATGGACTTTAGTCCTAGAGACCAATATCTGAGAAAACCACAAGTTGAAGATGTTATTCCAAGAAGTCTTTTTATGTCTTCGCTAGGTCTGAGACTTCTAGTCATTCTTCCTGCCCCTGCATCTATCTTTTGCATCATTCTCTCTCCATATCCATACCTCCACTCTTTCTTAACTATAAAACAGAGTGCGTGCTTCAAAATACTTGTAGTTTTTTAAAGTGAATATTAGCTAAAGACAAAAACAAAAAAACCCAACCAAACAAAACGAAAATTAAGTCATTTTTAATGACACTTATGTGATCCTGGATTTGATTTTATATTGTGCTTCTTTGAGAGAAAGGTTTCCCAAACTTGATTTACACAGTTGTGGGATGGAAGATAAACAACTCGAGAGAATTTGAGAATTGCCTTTTATCAACACACACCCCCGTGCACGCACACACACCCGCATCCGAAGGGAAACGTTAGGCCTGGTGCTAAATGTGTGCGTCCCTAAGTCTGACGCCTTGGAACGCCTGGCTTGGCAGAGCAGAGGCGGGCGGAGACCCGCCGTCGGGGGAGGCGGCCTAGTCTGGAGCCTCGAAGCCCCCGCCTCCCGTGGGTCCCCGAGGCCGCGGCGTCGTGGGGAAGTAGGCTTGGGCCCGCGGCGGTTGAGCCAAGGAAGTCCTGCAGCGAGAGTCATGAGGGCCGACTCCAGGCTTGGGCCGGAGGACCATCTGGTGAGCGGTGCGGGGCCGCCAGCCCAGATGAGCTGCCCGGGAGGAGGGTGCCCCTGGGGCGGGGCCGACGCCTACGCGCTAGGGATCAGAAGGGGAGAGCCTGGGTCGTGGGTGCGCACATCTACCCCTTCGGCCCCCACAGCATTGGATTGGGGAGGGGGCTGGAAGTTCGTCCCAAGGTCGGGACCCGAACTCCTGGAGCCAGACGAGGAGCCAGGCGTGAAGTTTCCGGGGGCCTCGGTGCGCGTGTTGTCATGACGACGCCTCACTTCTCAGCCGCTTTGGCCCCTGCAGGTTCCGGGCTGCCAACGAGGCCCTTCCTAGTGGCTCCTCCCGGAGGGCATTTACCCGCCGGGGAAAAGAGATCGCTATTTGCCGGCGGAGACTTTTAATCATGATCTTCTCTCACGTCTCTCGAACAAATCATTGCAACCACTTGGGAAACCATGGGGAAGACTGATTGCTTCCTCACGCCCGCTGGAGTCTCCCCTTGCAGGCATTTCAGCCCCGACTCCCAAGCCCACTTTCCCGCAGGAGCCGACCAGCAAGGCCAGGCCAGATTTCCGCAATCCCCCTCGTTCCCACCGTGCAGGGAGGCTTTAGGCCCGAGCGGCCTGTGGGACGCAGCCCGATGACGCATTGCGCCTGCGCGCGCGGCCGGCCGGGGCGGGTATGAGCGAGGCGGGGTGTGAGAGCCGCCTGGAAGCCGGAGTACGCCGGGGACTTTAGAAAGAATGGGAAAGAACCAGGGGGTAAGCGAGCCTTAGTTAGTTTTGAGTTATTAGGATTTTGTGTTCAGTTGAACCGTCCTACTTTTGAAGGGCTGAAAGGTTGGGTTTTTGCATGGGTGGCACATCATTTTTGCGGGACTTTTGAAATGTGGAATTGGGTGAACTGAGCCTTGGATAGAATGCGATTCGTAGCATCTTTAGAACAAAAGTGCTTCGTGCGACTATCGTACTTTTCCAGTTGTAATTTTGAGTACTGGATAGTATTAAGACAAGCCTGGTTTGTCCTCATCTTGTACCATTTCTATAAATACACTGAACGAATGGGTTGCTAAACGGGACAGTTGTAGAACAAACAAGTGTCTAAATTTTAACCCTTTGAATCAGTGTCCTCTGCAAGCAGCATGAGATACTTGGAACATTAAAGTGATTTCTAGCTATTTCAGCTAATATTTTATTTTGAAAGTTTCCAGAATACTTAACTATAATCCCCGTGAACTGCAAATACAACTTTTCTTATTCATGTAAAGCAGCATTTATAAGGGGGTTTCCCCTCATTCTTTCTGTCTAAAATGCATTCTTCATCCTGTATTCAGAATGATCTTGTTAAAAAGTATGTTACGTTACTGTGTGGCTTAAAACCTCCATTGGCTTGAATCAAAACAAAATCTAGATTCCTTTCCTCAGCCTTCAAGACCCTAATTAATCCGTCCTCTGCCTGCCTTTCCTTGGTAACTGTTGTAACCTTACTGGCCCTCTTTCACCTGGAACACTCCAAGCCTCATCTCCCCTAAAGGACTTTGTATTTGCTTCCCTTTGCCAAAAATGTTCTCTCCTTTCTTGTTCAGTTCTCATCTCAGTTATCTGAGAGAGACTCTCCCTAACTAAAGTAGGAGGCCTCATCCCCCCTCATTTGTTACTATTGATACATATATTAATGTTATTGGCTAATACTTAACCACTAGGATGTAAAGTCCCATGAAAGCAGGATCTCTCTGTTTTGTTCATTAATGTGTTCTTAGTGCTTCGAACAGGGCCTGGCCTATAGATAAAAAGGAACACAGGAAGGAAGGAATTTTATATGAAATTTAGAATAGGTAGAACAAATTTAAATATTACCCATTTGATTCTCATCAGTACCTCCTGGCTTTCACTGATGAACAGGGTAGTCAAAAGATTTGGAATATAGGAAGTAAAGATTCTCTAGGCTTTTACTTACAAGTAATATTATTCTTTTTTTTCCCTGTAGCGTCCTCCACGAGCCCTTCCACCTGTGCCAAGGTAAAAATAACTTACAGTAATTTTATTTAATTTAAAAATACAAAATGAATAAAGTGAAAAATTGACTACCATAGCAAAACTATAATAATTCAGAAACTATTTCTTGAAAATCTTAGGGAAAAGCTTCTTAACAGTTTACAGGTGAAAAATCCTTGAAACATTAGGATAACCATTATAATTAAATGTTCTGTTTCAAAGCCTGAATGTCAATATGGTAGGATAACTGATCCATTCTGAATGTTTTAGTGTCTTGTTTATCAGAATTCTGATTCTCTTTTGTTTGCTAGAATAGTTTTCTTAGCGTTTAAGCTAATTTTAATCTGTGACAAAATAAGAGTTCTTAATCTGTTTAATCCACTTGATTAATAGATAGCGGGGAATGTGTATATGTAGGTTCAGAAAGTATTGGTGTTATATTTATAAATAATAAACTAGTTTGTAAGCTAGCTGGCTTTGCGTGAAGGGTAATTTTATTTTAAATTTGTAATGATGTAAGTCAATTTTCAGTCTGACAATACAGTAATTTTCTAATTAAGTTTCTTCTTTTGTCTTTGTTCTGATTAAATATGGTCGGTGTTATAAAGTGCTATTCAAGGTAAGTTAGTTCACTGTTAATGTAAAACTTTGTAAATGTAATATTTGATGTTCAAAAGTTAGATTCCTTAATGTTTCTCTTAAAATTATATCTGAATGAAATAATTTATAATAGTATAAAATCCTTTATCATAATACTTTCCTATGACTGCCATTTTAAAATGGTGGTGGACTTTGAGCACTAATTATATGGTTGATATTTGACCTTACAAATATAAAAGCACTCATCCCTGAATGGAGTCACTCAGATCATAACTCTTGGCTAGTTTATAGTTCTGTGTTGGGCACTGCATCTTCCTTTATCTCATTTAGGGTAATGCTGTACTAACCCAAAATCTCAGTAATATTATATAGAGTTACTTCTGGTTAATGCAAAGTCCATTGTGGAAACAATCCAGGCAGGTGCCTTTCTCTACCTCTTCACTAATGATTCAGGCTACTTCTATCCTGTGATTCTGCCATCTTAACATGAGGCCTCCTCAGTTGCCACAGCAAAGGAAGAGAAAGCTGGAGGGTTTTGGTCCCCAAATGACACAGATCACTTCTGCTCACAGCCTATTAATCACAACCAATCATAGGCCACACCTAAGTGCAAGGGGGCTGGGAAATGTAGTGGATCAGGTAAATATTTGGTGAGCCCACTTTCTGTGTCAGTTTCTAACATTACTGACCAGCAGTGAGCTACTGGTACCATACTATGGGCTCTCTTTGACTTTGTGAATTTCTTACCTTTTCCCCTAATGTGTAGATGTTGGCAGGACCCAGGGGAGAGAGGGAAAGTTCTTCCCTATTAAAAGTTCCCTTTTGACTGTTTCCTGCATTGAATTTTAGGCAGTCTTTTCCGTTATTTTTTTCTGTTTTATAGATGATACTCCACTTAGTCGTCCTAAGAAGAAGAAACCCAGAACAAAAACCACACTAGGTAAGAAGTTGTTCTTTGTTGTGCGGGATCACAGGTTTTTCCAGGACCTTAGGCTTGATACATAGCACAGATCAGGGAGTAGCAAGGCCCCAGCAGTCCCAGATCAGTGCTGTCTTGAGGATAGAATCAAGGTCACTTTGAAGCAGCAGGATTCCTGGTGTAGTGAGGGACAAGGCAGGGGGCAGCCTCAAGAGTGTCTGGAAGGATTCATGAAATACATGGTTGTGCTTCTTATATTCTTACGTATACTACATTCTTAGACTCTTTGAGGTCTTTTATCTTTAGACAATATACGTTATGTTAAGTTGTGATTGGTTCCAGACCCTTGAACAGGATACTGGATTTAGAGACATAAGGTTCTTGGATGTCTCATTTCGATTAGAGAATATCTGCATTAGAGCATGAGTCTGAAGGCAGGGCCATATCCAGGTATTAAACTCCAATAATGGGCAAAATCTATGAACTCTTTTTTGTTTTAGTTATCCACTAATAATCCTGGATGTTCTGTCTGTAACTCAAACTTACACATCCAGGATTCATCACCTTCAACAATAAGTTTTTACTTCTCACTTACAAATTTCTGTTAATGGAACCCCCTACTCCTGTAGTCACTCAGGTGGGAAACCTCAGTATCACCTCTAACTGGTCCCTTCACTCTACTTGCTTCTTCTCATAAGCTTGCTTCTTCTATGGTATCTTTTATGTCTGTTTTCCCCTTTCATTTACACTGTCACAACTATAGGTAATTTAACTCCTTTCCCCTTCTCACCTGAGCTATCGGGGTGGACTCCAACATTGCTCTGTGCTTCTAGCTTTCTTCCACTCTAGTCATTCCTGCCCACCACTGCTGGATGAGCTCCTTAAAGCTCATAGCTAGCTGATCGTACCTTACACCTGGTCAGAAACTTATATTGGCTTATCATTGCCTAACAAATGGAGGAATAGACAGAGAAAAAGAAAGAAATGGAAATGGATGCACAGGGAGAGAGAAAGACATATACACACAGACAAAACAAAAAGAAAATAGATGCACAGATACTTAGATTCACAAAGATACTGAAATGCTAGGCTCTTAAAATACACTCAGTTAAATATAGACATGTACATAGGGACGTAGGAAGGTCACAGGTAGAGGGTACAATAAAGACAGAGTTGGGGGACGAGAGGTACAGATCTATCCCAGCCACCAGCGCTTCCTTCTTTGAAAAAAGGGAAAACAAAAATTGAGTGCTCTAGACAAAAAAGGGGGATGTTGCTAGGCTTTTATTAAAATTGTTCACTTAGGATACTTCAAATTTTTCAATCCTACAATTTTGCAGTTCTTCTGAAATAGTGGGTGTTGGGGAAGAAGAGGTATGTCCACAGGATGGATTGCTGGCAATTAAATTGCTACACAAAGGACCTGTGCATTATTAATGTGATAGATTCTGCCAAATTGCCTTCAAGGAAGCTTTAGTTATTTTATCACCAGCAACAGAGTTTGATTGTCACATTGGCTAAACCCTTGACAATATTGGACAATATGAATATTTTAAATTATTTTGTCAATCTAGTGGGCAAAAAGTAGCTTATTTTAGTTTCCATTTATCTGGATACTAAAGAGATTAAGCACCTTTTTAATTTGTTTATTAATACATTTATATTTCTTCTTTTGTAAAGAAAACAGGCAAGGGAATGTAATCAGATAAAATTCAGATCTGCCAAAATGTATTGAAATCTGTTCAAAGACTTAATGAGGGGAAAGATTGAAAAGGATGACCAAATTGAAGAGATTTGTAAATTATCTGTTAACTCCAATTCATCCATGATGACTCTACCATGTGTTAATTTACTAATGAAGTATTAAACTATGTAGAGGCTGATAATTCTTAAAGCATAAGACAAACAAGAGGGCTCTCTATGGTGATAGTTTCCATTATGTTTTCACCTTTTTGAAAATTCTGAAGCAACTTCTCCTCACCCACTTCTTGTGTTCTTCTTCCCAGCCCCCTTCCCTTTCCTTGATTCTTCCTCATTCTTCCTTGTTCCTTCATTCATTTCTTTTCTCAACTTAAAACCCAAAGTTACAGGTGAGGAGGAAGGAAATCAAGATTTGGGGTATAATCAGTTCTGTAAGAGAAGAGATTATTATATAGAAAACATTCTAATTCCCTCTTTTCTCATCTTTTTAAGAGTTGGTGATCTCTGCTCAAGTTATCCCATTTTTTTTTCACTCTGGTTTTTTTTTTTTTTTTTGTAGCAAGTGCTTCTTTGGAAGGTCTTGTTCAGACTGCTGCTCGTAGGCCCTCTGAGGGCAGTGAGCCACCAGATAAAGAACCCATAAAGCATCCAGAATCTTCTGTTCAAAGGAGGCAGAAGAAGAGGCTACCTCTTGGTATGTGAAGAAACCAGGGTTAGGTTGTGATAGCAGTTGTGATTTTAGGGGTATGACTAAAAACCTGTCTGTTCCCATTTTCCCCACCCATATCCCTTTTTTTTTTCTTTCTTAAAATTTCTATTACTCAAGTAACTCCATTGGGTTAAGTCAAGAATACTTTAGAGGGTCTCTTGATCATATGTGTGTAGATTATGAGGGAAGGGGTATAAATTCAGGACTAAAATAGAAAAGTTTAGATTTTGGTGTGTTAAGAATTTAGCATATGATAAAATGGACATTTGAGATTAGTGGGGAAAGGATAGATTCTGTATTAACAATAATATGATAAAGCAACAGCCAACATTTATTGAGTTTTGCCAGGCCAGGCACTTTTCACAAAGTAAATAAGATAAACAATCCTATGTCATTTAGTTTGCCTATCAATCTGGCAGTGCTTTTTTAAAAATTCCAGAATCTATAGTGCTGATGAGAAATGGGTATACTCGTACACTGCTGATAGGAGTGTAAATTATTATAGGCTGTTTGAATTTACAGGAATAGAAATAACTACAATAGCTACAGTAATTAAAGGATGTTAACTGCAACATTATTCATAAGAGTAGAACCTGTTAATACCAAATATTTAGCAATGTGATGCTGGCTAAATAAATCATTTTATCCGTGTAACAGAAACCAAGTACCAATTATCAAGATTATTAAAGTGAAATAGTGACTTGAAAAACCATCAGTAATATGTTGTTGAGTCAGAAACAAAGGTTATAAAATAGGATGTATCAGAGAATCCCATTTTATAAATTATGTTGTATTAATTTCCCAGGGCTGCCAGAACAGATTACAAACTGAGTGACTTAAAACAACAGAAATTAGTCTCTGACAGTTGTGGAGGATAGAAGTTCAAAATCAAGGTGTGCACAAGGCCGTGCTCCTTCCAGAGCCTCTAGGAAAGAATTCATTCTTGCCTCTTCTAGCTTCTGGTGGTTGTTGGCAATCCTTGGTGTTCTTTGGCTTGTGACTGAGTAACTTCATTCTGTGCTTCTGTCTTCACAATTTTTCCTGTGTGTCTCTGTTGGATTGCTTAATTTTTCCCATATTGTTTGGCATTGCAATTTCAAATGTTTTGTTGAGTATTTAGAGGTGTACATTTTTTTAAATTAAAAATTTGTAAAATGGTGAAAAAAATTTTGCCCATTTAAAAATGTTAAGGTTCTCTTGTATTACAAAAGTCTTTTACATTACTTTTCTTTTTACAGTATAGTAATTTGAAATTTTAATTATTTTTTTTCCCCAGAATTGGAGACTGCCTTCACCCAGAAGACATCTAGTCCATCTTTATTACCAAATGAAAATGGTATCGATGTGGAGCCAGCTGAGGAGCCAGTTATTCAAAAACCTCGAAGGAAGACAAAGTAAGAACTTATTTGTTCTTTTAAATATTCTTTACGGATACTCTGATGCTTAATTTGGAGCTCCTAATTGATAACTTCTGATTAACTCATATTAAATACTTGTAGTTATATATCTATAGGATAAGTAGTATTACAAAAATATCAGTTAAACCAATCTGATGATAAATTTGAAGAGTAAACCACTGAGAAAAGTAAAATATTGTACTTAAATAAAAATTCTTAGTAGCTGTCTCTAAAAAATAGGAACACAAATAGAAGATTTTATATAAGTAGCAAAAAATTACATATTAAAGAATTAAAAATTAAAGGTGATATTAATAAAATAGGCTGTTATAATTTATTTACCCATGTTAACAGGATTCAAATTGTGATTATTTCAGCAATAAATAAAAATGTGTATTTTAGCATAGGAAATTAAGTGTGAGATAAAATAGAATTGCAGACTGTAAAGAAGTACACTGGAAGTTTTATAACACTATTATTTGTATTTGGAAATGACCTTATAAATAGTAATCAATGTCTATATAGAATCATATAATTTTAACTATGGAAAGGACCTTACAAATCTAGTTCAGTCACTTCATTGTCCAGATGAAAAAACTGAGGCCCAGAGAAATATAGGTGACTTGCTGCACATAATAGTTAATCGATCTGTTTGAGTAAAATCCATATTTCTCCACTCAAAGTCCAGGGCCCTTTTCATTATACTCAGGTACCTCCTTATGTAGGCCTTTAAAAATTCAGTAATCATGCATTTTCCTTACCTTCTCCCTGATTGCAGGAAAACCCAGCCAGCAGAATTGCAGTATGCCAATGAGCTAGGAGTAGAAGATGAAGACATAATTACTGATGAGCAAAGCCCGGAACAGCAGTCTGTATTCACTGCACCCACTGGCGTTAGCCAGCCTGTAGGCAAAGTGTTTGTGGAAAAAAGCCGTAAGTAGTTCCTTGTTTTGGAACATGAGCTCTTTAAGAAGTACACAGAGATATTCCTTGATGTAGGAATTATACTTCTGGAAATCTGAATTAAGGAAATAAGCAAAACCATGGACAAAAATTTATACACAAAGCTAATCATCACACTGTTCTTCATAAGAGCAAAAAACTGGAAATAACCTGAATATAAAAGAGAAGGGGAATGAGTTCAGTCAGTTTTGCTGTATCCATACAATAAAATCTTCTGCACCATGAAAAATAATGTTTAGGGAGAATTTTAAGTTTCGTGGAAAGATTCTAATGAAAAACACATGCACATATAGTTTGTTCTCAGCTATAGAATGCATAGAACAAGAGACTAGAAGGAAATATGCCAAGATATTAATGCTGGTTGTTTCTGAGTTATGGTATTAGGGGTAATTTAAAAAATCTCCCCCTACTTTCCACTCATTTCTTTATTCTTTGAGTACTTTACCAGTGTTCTATAATTGGTAGTGATGTTGGTGGTGGGGCTGGTAATGATATAAATCCTATAATTAAAAATAAATGAGAGAACGTACATGATGGTATTACCATATTAAATAAGACTTACAACATTATAGCTGTATATTCTTTTGGAAAATAGTTCTGATGTTGTGTCCCATGCACTGGTTATAAGACAGCATTTGTATGGTTTAAGAAAAACCTACTGAAACCATGATCATAAAACCATATGCTCCTCCCATGGATATGCTATGAATATGCTGTCTGAAGAACTCCTCTGAAACATAAAGATTGTCCTTAAAATTTACAATTTAGAATTTACATAAATTGTTTTAGAATTCTGGTTCTGTAGTATGCCATCTAAGGGATCTTGGCCAGTGAGAGACCTGTATCCAGAGAGGCTGACTTACCCAGAGTCTCACAGTTGGTTAGTGCAGAACTGGGACTCGAATCAAGGTTTCATGACTTCTCGTCAAGTGCATTTACTAGTGTACCATCTGGCCATTTCATTTACTTCACTCTGTTTTCAAGCAGTATCACTCAATCCTCATTTTTGTTCTTGCTTCCCTTAGCACAGAAACTTCGCTACTAGAGTAACTGACCATAAAAAATACCAGTTGTCTGCCCAGAAGTTGTCTCTTCTCAGGGAAAATTAGGTGTTGCACCTCTGTATTTTATCTTCCAAAATACCTGACAGCCAGGTACGAGTATGGCAAGCATAATTGAAATGGAACCTTTCCTGCTGCCCGAGGTCCATTTGTGAAGAGGAGTCTTCTCAGTGGTAAAAAGACAAAGCTCTGCTTACACAGTATTGCAGAGCTGACCCTTGAACTGTTGCTTTTCACAGGAAACTTCTTAAGAGTAGTTTATGAAACAACCCACTTCTTTTCTCTCATCACAGAGTGCCATGCTACACACATTGGCATCTTTTCCGAAGAAATTTAGTGTTTTCAAATATTGACTTACCTTTATAGTATTGACATTTAAACTTGAATACTTCTAAAGTCTCTAAGTTAGAATGTTTTAGACTTTGTCACGTTAAAGGTTTGTAGACTTTTTCTTTGTTGGAAGTTCATTGTATTTCATTAAATACGGTATATGACTTCTAAACCTGTTACTTTAACACCTGTTTTGGGTCAAGAAGAAAATGCATGGACATTGTTTGTTTTTCCTAAAGATAAAAAAAGTAATAGGTTTAAACAACCAAAAGAAAATAGCCTTTTAAAATAGGGACTAAATCAAGGAGCGTTCTTAGATAGAAAAACAGCAAAATTTCAGTCTCTGTCTGAGGGTTCTTAAGTGTGGATTAATAAAAAAGACTGTCAGGGTTCTCTCTGGTTAGTTGTTAATGATGGTGTAATGTGTTCTTAGGGCGATTCCAGGCCACTAATCGGTCAGAGTTGATAAAGACCACAGAACACATAGATGTGTCGATGGACGTGAAGCCTTCCTGGACCACCAGAGATGTTGCACTGTCAGTGCACCGGGCTTTCAGGTGGCTACTTTTGTTGGACTTTTCTTAAAACAAATGTTCCATAATTTTTTTTAAAAAGTGTTGATTGTTCAACACTGTTAACAAAATTGATGACTTAAGTGGTGAGTAGGTATTTTTTCTAAACATTCAATTTGAGTTAAATCATCTGCCTTCAGTGTAGTGAAAAGAAAAAACTTGTTTTTACTCTCTGTGAAATGTTGAATTTTATTCATATATGTGAAGAGACTTTAAAAATATTTTAGCTTTTTATTTTAGTAATTCACATATAATAATGAAACCCTTTTCTATTCAGGATGGTTGGTCTCTTTTCTCATGGCTTCTTGGCTGGCTGTGCTGTGTGGAATATTGTTGTGATATATGTTCTAGCAGGAGATCAGCTTTCTAACCTCTCAAACCTTCTGCAACAATACAAGACCTTGGCATATCCATTCCAGAGTCTTCTCTACTTACTCTTGGCTCTAAGTACAATTTCAGCTTTTGACAGGTAAGAAAGACTGTCGTGACTGCAGATCCCTCCAACTTTTATTCAGGAGGAAACGTTGAACAAAATGTGTCACTAGGACAGTTTTCAAAATAGAATTATAGGATATTAATATTATTTTGACTTTTTATTTAAAGCCAGTCTGTTTCTGTTCTTTTGGGGTGGGTGGGGGGGGATGTGAATACTGTGAAAAAGAAAATACCCAAAAGTCTTAACCCATTCCAGCATGAACTCTAAGTCCAAACATTTTTGCTAGATATAATCAACACAAAAAGTCCCAAATATCATCTTCCAAATTATCTGAATCAAGTATAGGTGAGAGTCTGAGTATTGTATTAGGTTCCTAGGGCAGCTTTAACGAAGTACTACAAACTGATGGTGGCTTAAAACAACAGGAATTTATTCACAGTTTTGTAGACAAGTCTGAATTCATGTTCGCAAGGTCAGTTGCATTTTAGAGGGCTCCAAGAGACAGTCTATTCCCTGCCTCTCTCCTAGCTTCCAGTTGTCATGGGCAGTCCTTGGCGTTACTTGGTTTGTAAAATCATCACTCCAATCTCTGCCTCTGTTGTCACATGGCAGTCTTCCCTGTGTGTCTCTGTGTCTGTGTCTCTTCTCTTCTTATGAGGACACCGGTCATATCGGATTACAAACCATTCTAATGCTTAACTTGATCACCTCAGCAAAGACTCTATTTCCAAATAAGGTCACATTCACAGGTTAGAAGTTCAACATATCTTTTTGGGAATATAGTTCAACCCATTAAGAAAAACAATAACTTAACAGCCTAATGATATGGATAATTGAAGGAGGTAGAATCTAATGATATTTTGCAGATCAAGTTTAATTTGTTTCTTCAGAATGTCTGAACTCCAAAGGAGTGTTGACAAAAATAGTCTTGTAGTTAAAAGTTTTATGTGGAACTGTGTAAATAAGATATTCTTTCATGTGTGTTAAGTATAAACTGTAACAGACAATACATGTGGTAGCATTAGAATAGAGAAGGAAAAAACTAGAGTCAAGAGAGTAAGAAGTTTACAGCTGCGCTGTGACAAGCTTTTGTGTTTTTCTAGGATTGACTTTGCTAAAACATCAGTAGCAATCCGAAATTTTCTTGCCCTGGATCCAACAGCTTTAGCATCTTTCTGTGAGTACATAGTTTAATTAGGTAACTGTGTCATACTTGAGTTATGCTATAATTTTGAACAAGTAAAGTTATAATTTTATTTTTAAAGATTTTATATTATTGCTACTTATAAACATTATAGATGTTTAGTGGAATTTGTAATAAAAAACATGGTAGGCATAATTTTGATAGAATTATTTTTCGATAGAGATTGATCTAAATAACTTTTAAAAGTTCTATTTGTTCTAGATTACTTAATATTTAGCTTTTGTATTTTCTACTTGATGTTAAACAGCTACAGCTGGTATGACATTTTAGTAACAAATACTATTTTTTATATCAGTTATGAAAATATTGATGAAACTGGTTTTAGGACCTGGAGTAACTCATTTAATTTCTTAAATGATCTTCTAGATTCTTGTCAGTTTTATTGATGAAATAGTGAGCATCTCAAAAGACCCTTCTGTACCTGTATTCTTGAAAAATAATATAAAACTGTCCAGCCTAATAAAATTTATCAAATGAATTCCTTTTATATTATCATTTGCCAAAGTACAGTTTATTTTTTACCTTGAAGTAATCTATAAATTAAAAATAAATGGGGCTGTTAAAAATACATTATTAGTAATTTCATTTGTCTTTTTCTCAGTGTACTTTACTGCTCTTATACTATCTCTGAGTCAGCAAATGACAAGTGACAGAATCCACCTTTACACACCTTCTTCTGTTAATGGTAGCCTCTGGTAAGATCCACAAAAGCATTAGCAATTGTTGATGGTTGTAACAGTGACAATGGGAGTAACGGTACTGTTCTTATCCTTCCACTCTTTAACGTGTTATCATCTATAAAAAAAAATGAGGGTTCTGTTTTTGTTTCCAAAATTGTGGCAAGAAAATACCTATTCCATTGGTTAATGCATATCTATTGTTACAAACACTTGCATTTTTAATGAAATGTCTTCTTTTTACAAATGTTTTATATCTCTTAAATTTTGGTTTCAAGATATGTCATTATATGATGAACTGGAGGAGCCCTGCACCCTCGGCCCCAATCGGGAACCTAATACCCCAGAATAGTGCAGTGAGTGGGTAGCTAGTATAGAGTTGGAAAACCAAGCATTCTAGAAAGAGAGCAGACTAGAGAGTGCCAACCTTCGCAGAGCAGTGGCCAATTGTGAAGCTGACAGGATGGCCGAGATTCCAGTTCACAAAACTCAGAGGGGCAGTCTTTTTTTGAGAGAGTGGCTAGAGGCAAAAGGTAAAGAGAGAAAGGAATGATACTGCATGAAGAGTAGCACCTTAGTAGTTGGAAGAGAAACTTAGAAAAAAATTTTGGCAACACTAAATTTCTATTTTTATCAGTGTACAGAGCAGATCTGTTTAGAATTTAATAACTGTTTGCACCTTTGTTCTCATAATATATATATATAATGGTGTATTTTATAGGGTATTATATTTTACTTCATGCTTTACTTGTTATTCCTGTAGGTAAGGACTGCTGTTTATTTTTAAAGTTCATGAAGTAGATATATTTGGGTATATTGAAAAGGATGATTGAAAAGGATGACCAAGATAAAGACATTTCTAATGAGTTTTTCTGTATTTTTAGGGCAGCAGGAATTGAAGAACAGGTTCTCCAGCCATGGATCGTGGTGAATCTGGTGGTAGCCCTTCTGGTTGGATTATCTTGGCTTTTTCTGTCTTATAGGCCAGGCATGGATCTTAGTGAAGGTATTAAGGAACAAATAGTATAAGAATACTATGAAATCTTCTATAATGATTTTAGAAATTTTCTTTTAATGGATATAACTTATACTATTGTGATAACAAAAACATATTTAAAATAAAGTAACACAGAAAAAGTGACAATAAAGTGTTGAAACAGAATGCCAAGAGAAGCAGGGAGGAGTGTCTCAGACAGCTGGAGTCTCAAAGTATTGGGTTGTCGGAAAAGTCGTGACGTATTTTTTCTATGTTTTTAGTTGCAAAAAATGCATCATGACTTTTTCAACAACCCAATACTTAATGAGGGTCTTCGGTGGCCCTTGTGCATATTTGGGAGGTATTTCTTCTCCTGGAGCCCTTCATGTATTTTATGCTCTTCATTTCTCCTAGTTTCCTTCTGATCAAAGTATCTTTTAATTTGAAATATTGGGTTGTCAGAAAAGTTGTGACGTATTTTTTCTGTTTTTTGTTGCAAAAATGTGTCGTGACTTTTCTGACAACCCAATAAATCATGCTTCATCTATGTAGCCTGTCAGATGCATGTTAAAGTGAATTATTCTTACTTCCCCCTCTACCTGTCACAGATTCTTAACCTTCGCTGTCTAATGAAGTGTTTGGTAATCCTACCTTTAGTGTGCCCAATGTGACATGGCACCCCTGAAGAAGAGGAGTCTTATTAGCAAACTGCTAGTCCTTTAGCACTGCTTTAGGAACTGCTTGGTGTTTGTAGTGTAAGTTCGGTTTCCTTGACAGATGTTCCACAATTTCACCCTTGAATCTCTATGATAGTTTCTGGACCTTGGTTGCTATTATGTTCTTGATTTGTTAAACATCCGGAGCATTTAACTGCAATTTGATCAACTAATTACAACCTGTCTCAGAAGTATTAGAATTGAAGATCTTCCCAACATTTCCATTTGTAAAAACCAAGACAAAAAATGTAGTCTTCTTGTGTATTTTCATTTATGAATGTAACTTTCGGCAATTGTCATTCTCAGGTTGCTTCACTAAATATCCTGTTGCTTTGTTTCTTTTGATACATGTAAAGTATTTTTAAAAATTTTCTTAGGGTTCATTTATGTATTTTGCTGTTTTTCGCTCAGTACAGTTTTTAGTCATTCAAAGAATTTTTCATCTAATACTTACATCAGAAGACTTTATTTTATTCGATTCCTAAGTTTTCCTTTTTTCATATTTCTTGGTATTAATAAATTATGTATATATGCTAAGTAATAATTTAAATGTAGAAATATCAACTAATAGCATTCTATACTGTGGTTGGGATTGAAACTACATCTAGCTGGCTTGTGTAGTATCTACAAATCATAAAGTGTGTTACTAAATATTTACAGAGTCCTGCTCTCTTTTAGGACCATGTAAATTATATAACATTTTATTTCTATGTGGATAAAAAATAGTAAATATAAAAGGGGAATGATAATACCTCATTTATAGGGGTTGTTATGGTGACTAAATGGGATAACACATTTAAGCTATCCTGGCATACACCTCGTGTTAGTTCCAGGTCCTTCCTCTACTGTGTCCCTGCCATTTTAAGTTATCATGATCACTATAAACTTAGACCTTTAGTCTATAGTCTGTTTTTTTTTGTTGTTGTTTTTTTAAGATTTTTATTGGGGAATCTGGGGATGGGAACAGCACTGGGGAATTGGGGGAAAGAGAACAGACAAGTTGCTGTCCTTTTGTCCTTCAGTCTAGTTGTGGAGGACGTTGCTTCACTGGCCCAAGTTGGCACCATCATTGCGCTCTTCCCCGGGGAGGCAGATCAGTCGCCGGCTTCTGGACGGCTGCCTCACTGTGGCTGCTGACCGCTCACGCCGGCTGCTGGCTACACATGGTAGCCCATGGCAACCCACTGCAGCAGGGGCTGCAGCCAACGCCGTCCCTGGCGACTCATGGCAGCCCAGCTCCAGGTTGAGCTGTTGTTCAGCATCTTAGCTGTAGAGGGCAGTGTCACTGGCCCTCATATGTGGGATCCGAACTGGGGCCCTTTGGCGTCCCAAGCCAGCTCTTAACCACCGCACCACTTGGCCGGCCCAATCTATAGTCTGTTTAATCAGCTATTTATGATTAAATAGAGAATGAACCTAGATTCTCTTAAGTGACTTACATTTCCTGGGGAGCTTTTATATTGTCTCCATTATATATGCTTTATTTTTCAGAGGTTAACAATACATTTAAAAGTTGAAATTTTTAAAATGCAAAACTTGTACATTTTTTGTTAGCTTACCTTTTTAAATCAGATTTCACTATCAAGAATTCTTGTGCTTGAGGGCTTTCAATTGTTGTTTATTATGTCAACATTTTAAGGGACTGTTTATATCTAAACTAAAAAACTCTTTTTGAGGTTCTGGGAAACCACTTTGAGTATGATCTGTTCATTTTCTCTCCCAGAGTTGATGTTCTCCTCTGACGTGGAAGAATTTCCTGTTAAAGATAAGGGAATCAAAGCCTCTTCATAATGCCAGCTCACCTGCACAGGAATATAACCCAGTATTTAGAATTTTTCCCATTCTTGTTTTTAAATGTATTTTTATATGATATGTACAGATGTATTTAGAATTGATTTAATACTGAAAAAATCTCAAGATTATGGAAAATGGTAAAATTGTATCTGCAGTATATACCCAAACATTAATCTCAGTAGCATTATTATCTTAATGACAAAGGAGATAATGAGCTAGAGACCAGTAGGTGAAAGTGTTTATTTCCTTTTCTCTCAAATTAATTGCATTTATAATCATTATCTTAAAAAGCACTAATACAGAAAAAGCCATAACTTTAGTGTTACACAATATATATATCAGGTTTAAACATAAATTTAGGGAATGGGGAAGGGGGGAAAAAAGGACCTTCATTATTTGTTTTTGATGTCTCCATACTGAATTAATTGAAATATGAAATTTGCCTGTTTTGAAACTGGCTTAGTGGTTGTGTATCATGTAATAAGTGTAATGTAATGTAATTTAGCTCAAAAGATGCTAATAAAAAAATACATCTTTTTTGTTTGAAAAGTTTTATAACTGAAACAGTTTATTTCCCTTTAAAACTTGTACCAGTGGTTCCCATGTGTGGTTGCACATCAGAATCATTTAGGGAGCTTTAAAAAACATACGTAGCAAAAGAGAAGCTGAGCAGGCCAAGGGCTCAGGGAAATAAAGGAGAGAGCAGTGAGCTTGTTGCGCTAACACCCAGCTGACCTCTGCAGAACCCTGTCCTCTGCCTCTTTTTCTGCACGATAAGAAATATGAGAAGAAATTCACCATGCCCTTTTTCAAGCTCCTCGTCAGTGAGATCTTTCAAGGAAATCCCTTTTTTTTTTTAATTGGGGAATTGGGGGATGGAAACAGTGCTGGGGAATTGGGGGAAGGGGAACAGACAAGTTGCTGTCCTTTTGTTCTTCTGTCTAGTTGTGGAGGACGTTGCTTCACTGGCCCAAGTTGGCACCATCATTGCACTCTTCCCGGGTGAGGCAGATCAATCGCTGGCTTCTGGACGGCCGCTCACGCTGGCTGCTGGCTACACACGGTAGCCCATGGCAACCCACTGCAGCAGGGGCTGCAGCCTACGCCGTCGCCGAGCGGCCCAGCTCCAGGTGGAGCTGTTGTTCAGCATCTTAGCTGTGGAGAGCAGTGTCACTGGTCCTCATATGTGGGATCCGAACCGGGGCCCTCTGTTTTCCCAAGCCAGTTCTTAACCATCGCACCACTCGGCTGTCCCAAGGAAATCCCATTTTTGAAGTGGGTCCTGCGCTGGAAAAGGTGTCTTAAGAGCTGTATTCAGTGGTGCCTCAACTGGTATGAGACGTTGGAGCTCAAGACAACGATAAAACTCCATGGGAAAAGGTGTCTCAGAGGCTCTTGAGCACATCAATGAAACTATCGGGCATGCCCTGACTAGCAGGCAGCTGAATGTTGTGGAGCAGAAGAGGACTGACAAATTGATGATAGACATGGATGGCTCTGTGAGTAGGTCGAAATTTGGTGCAAGCATAATAGTAGGAATAACTTGTTGCCTCTAAGGCTGGATTTGCTGAAAAGGGAATCCCCTGCTGTCACAATTATAAATCTGCTTTCATTGTGATCAGCATTGGTTATGCTGGCAGTCAGCTGGCAGTGCAGGAGTTCATGATTCTCCCTGTCAGCAAACTTCAGGGAAGCCATGGGCTCATTAGAGCTGAGGCTTACTGCACCTGAACATTGTCAAGGAGAAATGAGAAAACCAATGTGGGGGGTTGTGGTAGGCTGAATAATATCTTCCAAGGCTGCCCATGTTCCAGTCCTTGAACCTTACATGACAAAAGGAATTTTGCAGATGTGATCAAGGTTGTGAACCTTGAAATGAGGGAGATTATCCTGTATTATCAGGGTGGGCCCAGTGTCACCACATGAGTCCTTAAAAGCAGAGAACCTTCCGTAGTCATATGATGATGGAAGAAGGGTCAGAGAGTTGTGATGCTGCTGGCTTTGAAGAGGGAGGAGGGGCCCATAAGCCAAGGAATGTGGGTGACCTCTAGAATCTGAGAACAGCCCCTGGCTGACAATCAGCAAGGAAATGGATATGGGCTGTGTCCCACATCTTTAAGGAACTGAATTCTGGCAACATCCCAAACAAGCAAGGAAACAGATCCTCCCCTAGAACCTCCAGAAAGGAATTCAGCCCTGCTGACACCTTGATTTTAGCTTGGCGAGACTCATGCCAGACTTCTGACATGCATAGCTGACATACAGATAGCAAATGTGTGTTGTTTAAGCTGCCAAATTTGTGGTAATTTGTTGTGGCAACAATAGGAAGTTAATAAAGGGTTGAAAGGAGTTCTGCTTCCAACATTTTAGAGAATAAAAATGCTCTGGAGCTGCTATGGAATGCAATTGGAAGCCGGCTACTTGATAACTTGTAGTGGCGTGGGCATCGTTGCCTCTGAATCCTTCAGGTCTGGAAAGTATGCCCTGGACTTCAAATCTCCGAGTCACCTCAGCAAGTACATAATCCCTGAGCAGCTGGTGGATTTATACACATCTTTCTTCAGGGAAAACCCAGCGGTGTCTATCAAAAAACCTTTGGCCATGATGATGGGGGAAACTTGGAGGAAGTTCATTGCTAATATATGTTTTCATGATTGACTCAAAAATAATTTTTTCCTCACTTTTCTCCTTGCATCAAGTGTGGGTAAAGCAATGTACTTAGAGTTTCTGAGTTGTCGACAAGATCCCCAGTGGGATTTTTGTTATTGGTTTTTTGGGGGGAGGCAAAATAAAGTTTTCAAGTATTAATACCAGCATCTACCCACTCCCCTCAAGCAGAAAAGAAAACATACAGATTTCTTCTAGGCCCCATCTCCAGAGATTCAGATTCAATAGTGTGAGGTGGTGCCTGGAAAACTACCGTCTAGAAAAAGATACCTGAGGTTATTGTGATATAGCCTGTAGATTAGCCAGCATTTGGGACCTCTGGCCTTCATATGCCATTTGTAATCTATTATGAAACATAAAGCTTGGATTGCAGTAGATGACTTGATCTTGACCAAATTGCTAGGTCTGTGAGGGCAAAAATATGAAAAATATGAATAAAACATAGTACTTACCTTTAAGAGGCTCATAAACTAGTCAGAAGACATAGATAGGTATAAGAGTTGAAGAATCTGGGAAAGTATTATACATTGAATCATGTAGTATAAAATCTTTGGGAATTAGCCTTTTCTGCTCAGCATAATTCCCTGGAGATTCATCCAAGCCGTGTGTATCGATAGTTCATTTCTTTTTATTGTTAAGTCGTATTCCAAGGCATATATGTACTGCAGTTTGTTTAACCATGTACCTATGGAAGGACATCTGAGCTGATTCCACATTTGGGCTATTATGAATAAAGCTGCTATGAGCATTTGTGTATAGGTTTTTGGGTGAATGTGTTTTTATTTCTCTGGGATAAATGCCCAGGAATGCAATTGCTGGGCTGTATGGTAGTCACATGTTTAGTTTTTTAAGAAACTGCCAAACTATTTTCTAGAGTGACTACCATTTTGTATTCCCCCGTGACATTTTTTTGGGAAGAGCCCAGTTTTGTTTTAGAATGTCCCACCTATATTCTGTATTTGTTTTACTTTTTTTTCCTAATGGCATCATTCAGTTTGTTCCTCTGTCTCCCGAATTCCTGTAGACTGGAGGATAGGTGTAGAGGTTTGATTAGATTTAGGTCAGATATTTTATATTGCATCACACACTTCCATAAGGAAGGCAGCAAGTCTCGGCACAGTGATTAAACAACACAGCACAGACTCAAAATTGACAACAAACTTGAATCAAGAGTCTTGGGCTATTGTGCCATATGTCCTGAAGAGTGAAAGGTGAGTGTCGGGTTCCTGCCCGCAAAGAACTCTTATCTTTAGAAATTGACAACTAATTGAAATAGTGTGAACCTACTAATGAGATAGGGTAGTAGCTTGGAGATAGTGGTTAATTCTGCATTTGGGATATGTGTGTGTGGTTATAACATATAACTGAAAGCTGAACTTTGAGCTGGCCCTTGAATAAAAGAAAAATGGATTCCAAATAGAATAGCAATAATGATCCTGAGGTAGCACAGAATGCATTTTGGAGGCCCTTGGTTCCCATATTAAGGAATTCAGACTTAGAGCCAATAAAGAAGCTCTGAAGTTTCTGGGTTTGTTTTAAAAGTAGGCTGCACTTTTTAATTTTAAAGGTAAATCAGTGGAAAGGGTGGATGACAGCAGGCAGGGAGACCCATGAGTAAACCATTTCAGTAGTGTATGTGAGATGCCCTAACACCAGGTGCCATAAAGAGAAAGAGTAGGGTTCAAATATTAAGGATTAGAATTTTAAAATGTGCCTGAAGTTTTAAGCTTTTGTGGATATGACATTGTTACATTAAATGAGTTTGGAACATACTAGAGGTCTGGGAGGGAAGATATATATTAATGTGTTGTGTTATGAGTCTATGTGACAGTCAAGTAAAGATGTCCAAGTAGAATGTTGTGAACAAAACATTTGGAGCGCAGGGGATAGTGTAAGGAAGCAATAACAGCTACTGTAAACCTCCCAAAAAGAACTGGTGCAGAGAGAAGAGGGCAGACAAGAAAATGAAAGTGTTCAGTCACCGTGCTGAGGAGACTTGCTGTCCACCAGCATGCTCTGACTTCCTTCTACAGGAGTCTGAAGTAGCCTGGGCAAACGCTTGAAGCTTACCCTCTAGGTGCGCTAAGCTCTCACTGCCCGGACGCCAACCCTGGGCATGAAGCCAGGCCTGAAGGTGCGAGTCACGCAGTGCTGTACGCGTGCGCGGGAGGGAAAAGCGTGGGGGAACGCAGCGAGAGGGCTGCGCCTGCGCAGTAGCAGGCCGTCAGTTAAGCACAGATCCGTCGGCAGAGGATGGAGGGATGGACCTGCCCCAAGAGATGGCCAAGGCTTCCAACGCAGCTAATAACCGCAGTGGGCATGTCCATCCCCTGTTCACAGATCCTGTACTTCAGAAGAGTCCCCATAGCCTGGAAGCCCCGCACATCAGAGAGTCGGAGTTTTCTTCGGCCCGTAGCTCGCAGGAGCAACGGAAGACCGAGGATCTGCCAAAGGATCAGGCCAAGGAGAGCACTGGGAACCGGCTGCTGAACGTGAGTGGGGGCCCCAGCAGCGGAGCCTCTCCCCTACCCGACCACCTAGAAGGCCCAGGAAGGACAGAAGGGTCAGTGCATGCAGAAGGAAGGGTGGGGGACCTGCCCTAACTGAAGGTGGTAGGTAATACCTTAAAAAGTTTACTTGTGGGACCTTGACAATTATTTAACTTGCCAGAGCCTTGTTTTATTAACTATTAAATGAAGACAATGATTACCACCTACCTTACTTATAGCGTTGTCTGAAGAACCAGAGGAGATAGTAATTTAAAGTGCTTAACACATGGCAGAACACAAAGATTCAATACATGTTGTTAGCCGCTGGTTAATCATCATCATCATCATCATCATCATCATCATCATTGGGATTTCATTTGTGTGGGTAAAGGGTTAAACTCCAGAAACTTGTTTGCAATTCCTGAGGTTCTTACAGATGAACCTGTGGTAACAAATCTGCATCATGTCTGCAGAGTGAGTTATTGGCCTCCTGTTCTTAATTAGAAGGGTAAATTTATTTAGAAATGTGTGAAACTCTTGAGTTTACCGCTCCTGCCAGAAGATGGAGGAAATGGAAAAGGAGAATCACATTGAAACTCACTTTTTCAAAGTTGTTACAGGATTATTAGGAAATTTTACATTCTCTGTTAGTCTTAAATTATTAAAAAGTCGTACATATAAAAACATTATCAGTAAACAAATGGTATACAAAAAGATGATGTCCTTCTCTATAAAATTAAGGAGTTGAATTACTTAATCTTTAAAATAACCTAATTCCAAGAATTTAGAATATTCTTCACTCATTGTTATGATAAATAAAGAGCAAATTAGGATTTAATTACAGGATACTAGGAGAAATTGCAAAATTTGTGTAAAAGAGATGTGCTTGTAAATCTAGGCCATAGAAGACATTTGTTGTGTATTCTTTTAAGGAATTTGGACTTTATTCTGTAGAATGATTATTTCTAATATTTTTTAGTATAAGGATACTTTTTATTGTGAAAACAAAAAAAAAAAAAAGGAAAAAATCCGCCCACATAAGAGTAGCTGGCATTTTACTATTGACTGACTGGGAAAATCTGTGACAAAAGGTTACCATGTGGCAGTGTTTTTAGTGGAATTTGCTGATAAATACAAAAGCATTTACATTGAAAAAAAAAAGTAGTGTACCTATATGGAAGGTACATTGTTTACCCAAGTTGGTTTCCCAAATTATTTAACTATAGACTATTTTAATGTTTTGACAGAACAACAAAAAGGGTTTAGGAAATGAAATGTGCAGTTGGATTTAGTTATAATGACCTCAAAGGATTTTTTTTCAGACACAAGTCCAGAAGAACGAGTTAATGTAGTATAGATATTTATTACACAATGAACTTAGAGTAATATAACTGTATGTTATTAAAATTATTATAACAGCTACTATAAGATGCATGATGTAGACCATTCAACATGGAATGAATGACCCTCTTCAATTGGGTAATGCTGCATATGTATTAGTACAGATAGAACATTATATATTTGGGCAACAGGTAGTCTTTCCTCTGACTTCTTGGCTGTTTTGTGTGTGCTTTATCTTTGGATCACTGGTATCCAGATCCTCTGGGGGTGTTTGTTAAAATCCAGATTCTTAGGCCTCCACCTTAGACCTACTAAATCAGAAGGGTGGGGCCCCAGGACTATGCTTAAGTTTTAAACTGTCTCAGATGATTCTTAGATTCATGTTGGAGAATTACTATAGACAGAGGGGAAGGATGGGCACTGATGTAGGGCTTGTAGATTGAGGGTGTAGGCTGGAGAAGGAAGCAAGCGGAGCCAGAAGAGTTTGATGAGCTGGGTGAAGAGAAAGGAGGAGGGATAAGTAACTGGAAGTCTCGAGGAGATTTTCAAAAAGGTGTAATAAATGTAAGTTACTAAGAGAATTGGAAGAATTAACTAGAGATAGTGCTGAGATTGAGGGATATTGTGTTTTTTACTTTGGTAAAAATGTGGGTAATCTACTCCCCATCTTAATGTCAGTTCTTTAAATCTCCTAAATTCCTTTCAGCAGCTCACTGCTATTCTGCATCCTGGACCTTATCTTCCCTCCAAGGGTTCCCCCTCCAAAATCCTGAATTCCAGCATGTTACTTCCTAACCTGTCATTACTTTACTTTTATTACACTTATTCTTTGAAATATGTGCCAAGCTTTGTGCTAGACACCGAGGATACAATGACGAATGAGACAGACAAAGCACCTTCCCTTAGGGAGCTAACGTTCAATTGGAGAGACAGGTACAGATTATGCTGTGTTCTAAGGAAATAAAATGGCTATAATATAGAATAATTATGGTGGAGGGATAGATAGTACTTTGGGTAGGGGATCAGGGAAGGCCTCCCCAAATAGGTGGCTTTTAAGTGAAAACCTGAAAACGAGAAGAAGCTAGCCATTTGAACAGTTGGAGGGTAGGGAGAGCAAAGAGGGAATAAACAAAAACAAATGCGAAGTTTCTGCTGAGGGATAGTTTGAAATGTTCACAGAACATAGTAAATGAAAAGGAGAATAGCATAAAATGAGGTCATAACATGTCTTTTTGTATGTTTAAAGTCCCTATTAAAATCTGTGTGTGTATGTATGTGAGTGACTTGTCCATTTGAGTCATTTTCCTATTAGATTTTTGTTCTTTTCCTCAATTTTTTCAAAACTTCTTTATTTGTAAAGGATATTAGATTTGCACCTGAGATATATGTCACAATATTTTATCACACTTCAGGAGCTGTATTTTGACTGTTTTGGTGTGCAAAAAGTTCTTAATTTTATGAGGTCTAGTTTATCTACTCTTTATTGCATCTGAATTTGCATCTTAGTTAAAAACTGTTTGCATGCACCCAGGTCATAAAGGAATTTACCTATGTTACCTTCTAGTACTTGTATGTCATCCTTGATTTATTTGGATGGTATGGTATGAGGTATGGATTTAATTTTTATCTTTCCAGATATATGTCCTAACACCATTTATTTTAATTTAAAAATCCATCTTTGCCCTGATGATTTGCTTTATACTAAGTTACTGTATGTATTTGTCTCTTTTTTTCCCCTGGAATTTCTTTCTCTTTCACTGGTCTATTTATCAATTCATGTACCAGTACCCATACTATTTTATTTTAAAGGCTTAAACTATGTTTTATTGTCTAGTAGGACTGGTTCCTTCCTCCTCCCCCACCCCCCTTGTAGTTTCTCCAGTGATTTCCTGACTATGAGTATTCTTCCTTTTTTAAACACTTTATTATTTTATTTCAGTAAAGAAGGTTTTAAAATAAGGATTGCATTAAATTGACAAATTAGGTAGAACTAACATCCTGACATCTTCATTATGTTGACCTGTCCTATCCAAGAACAAGAGATGTCTTTCCATTTATTCAAATCTACTTTTGTCTTTCAGAAGTGTTTTAAAGTTTTCCTCTTAGGAGTTTTGCACACTTTGTGTTAAAATTATTTCCAAAGTGGGGACTTTTCTTTTCTGTAACCTCTAGTTATTATTTATGTATATTAAGGTTATTGATTTCTGTATGTTAATTTCATATCCTGCTTCCTGAGAGAATTTTTTAAACATTTGAGTTAGTGCTGTTATTCTCTAGGATTTTAGATATACTATCAGATCACCTTCAAATAGAGATAGTTTTACTTCTTTTTTTCCCCCAATTTTCTTGTTTTTAGTTGATTTCTATTATCTAATTGCTTTGACTAATGCCACCAGAAACATGTTGAGTAGTGGTGGAGATAGTAGGCAACCTTGCCTTGTTCCTGATCTCAGTAAAAATGTCTCTAGTGTTTCCCCACCAAATGAAAACTGATTTCAAAACTGGCTTAATTCCTATTTTCTTGAGTGTTTTAATCAGGAAAGGCTGTTAAATTTTGTCAGAGGCCATTTCAACATATGTGGAGATAATCATATAATTTTTCTCCTTAGATCTGATGTGGTGATGTATTATATTAATGAAGTTCCTAATATTGAACCAACTTGCATTCTATTCATATTATTTTTTTAATTTGATGCTGGATTCTGTTTGTCACTATTTTATCTATTATATTTGTATCAACATTTATAAGTGATATTCATCTATAATTTTCATTATGGTTTTAAGTATAAATGGTATCCTTCATAAGAAGAATAAGAAAGTTTTCTTTAATATTCAATACTCTGGGACACTTTATGGTATTATGGGATATCTGGTCTTTGAAGGTTTGGTAGAATTCCCTGTGAAACCACCTGGGCCTGGTACTTTTTTGCGACGGTAGTTTCTTGATAACTTTCTCTATTTTTTTTTTCAATGGAAATTGGTCTGTTTAAGATGCTTACCACTAATGTGGTCAATTTTGTTAAATTGTATTTCCTTAGGAAATTATACATTTCGTTTAGGTTTTTAAATATATTTGCAGGTCTGCAAATTAGTCTTGTATGATTTTTAAAAATTTTGTCTGTTTCAATGGTTATTTTCATCTTGTCATTTCTTATTCGTGTTTTATCCTCTTTTCTTGATTAAGTTAGCTAGTGGTTTGCATGTTTTCTTGACTATGTAGATCAGTTTGGAAATTGATATCATAACAGTATTGAATCTTTCCATTAACAAACAAGCAATGTTTTTCTTTTTCTTTCTTTTTTTTTTTTTAAAGATTTTTATTGGAGAATTTGGGGATGGGAACCATGCTGGGGAATTGGGGGAAGGGGAACAGACAAGTTGCTGTCCTTTTGTTCTTCAGTCTAGTTGTGGAGGACGTTGCTTCACTGGCCCAAGTTGGCACCATCATTGCGCTCTTCCCGGGCGAGGCAGATCAGTCGCCGGCTGCTGGCCGCTCACGCTGGCTGCTGGCTACACACAGTAGCCCATGGCAACCCACTGCAGCAGGGGCTGCAGCCTATGCCGTCGCCGGTGATTCATGGGCAGCCCAGCTCCAGGTTGAGCTGTTGTTCAGCATCTTAGCTGTGGAGGGCAGTGTCCTGGCCCTCATATGTGGGATCTGA